CCCACCGCGCCCCGCCGCGCCCCACCGCGCCCCGCCGCGCCCCACCGCGCCCCGCCTCGCCCCGGCCCGTCCTGTAGGCCCCGGAACCTGCGCTGCCCGCCCCGCCTGCGGCTCGCTGCTCTGTGGCTCGGACCGACCCACGCCGAGACGAGACGACCCAGTCAGTCAGTCGAGTACGGCCCGGACCGGTGCACGGGACACTGCAGGACACACCGCACGGACACCGCAGGACACGAGACGTCAACATGCTCTCCAGACGACGCCTCCTCTGCGCGGCCCTCGCCCTGCACGCGATGGCCGCCTGCGTCTCCGTGACGGAGTCCGTAGGAATCACAGGTGCGTCTAGTACACGCGGGGTCTTTCTGTTTTGGAGGGCATTGTGTGTGTTTTCTTGCAAATATGTGTGCAAGTGTGCGCATAATTCTATGTGGACTATTATAAAATGCACCTTTCAGACTGGACTTTGCACCGTGCAATTTGTTTTTATTGCTGACCGGCATAACTTAATATTAAACATCCAGTTTTGGACGTTAACTGTCAGGACTTTCGAGATTGTGCAAATTTGCATAATTCTATGTGTTGACACTTCGTGGCGCGCCGGGCGCTCTGCGATTCGAGTTCATTCACCCCCCGAGTCGAGCCCGACGGGTCAGTGATACAGGGAAGTCCGGTGGAGCGGTTTTTGCGCGCCTGGCCCGGGCCAAACGCAGGATTCACGCTCGATGAGGTAGAGCTCGAGTTTGGCAAATCTTGCCGGAACAGCGGAACAGCCCTGCTGAACGAATTGTGATTTCCACTAGTCGCTGTGAAATCAGGTTGACGGCCGCATAGTACGGGTGATCGTAGTTAGGATGGAGGTGACATTCGCGTATACCCGGCGAGTTAGATTTGTTCGATCGGCGGAAATTATCGTGCAAGAAAACAATTGTTTACCTTTTCCGTACACTGACAATACCAATATCACAAACTATATCGTGTATCATTCTATTTTGTTAAAACATTTAATTGTTTTGGAATGACATTTGTAATCTGCTGCGAGAAACTGTACCTTTCCGGTTATAAAACGAGGAAGAAGGGCAGGTGGCGTCGTGTGCCGGTGCCCTTGTGGCCCAGCAGTGCTGCAGCAGTGCAGTGGGGCAGGCGTGGTGGTGCCGCGCTTGCGGTGTGCAGTTCAGCCAAGGTGGGGCATGTGTGTCAGGAAGTCCACGGGCTCGGCCGCATTCAGCTCTTCTGATAATAATTCCTTTGCGCTGGAGATTTTGTTTCTCATTGAGAAAGATTTGGCTGCTTTTGTAGGTCTACGTATGTTCTTAGTAGCAATTGCGAAGGATTTTATCTCCGCATTACAAAAGGAAATCGTTCGCAATTACAAAGCAGCCGCAATCTTTGGCAAGGATTAGAGGTGTACTGAACGTTTAGGGATGGCTTGAAATCGGCCGTCTTTATAAGTCAGTTGACAGTTTCCATCTACACCTCTATTAATTTCCTACATTGTTTTGAAATTCGTATGTAATACACTGGTACAGTAACTAACCATAGCGATACGTGCTTAAAGTTTCAATGTTTCAATCAACGCACTTATTGGAGCATTGATACTCAACATGAGTTGCTGCACCTTCGCCTTGTTAGTTACTGACGCTGAAAGTGAGAGTCAAGTTGTCAATCTTGCGCGCCTTAGCTCACAAAAGAGAAGCCGCAGGCTGTTTTGTTTCTGCTCATCCTATCACCCTCGTTCGTTTTGGTTGCAGATCTGGTGTGGTGGGGCGCGGACATGCTGGCGGGGTCCGGCGCCGACGGCGAGCAGCGGGATGGCTCCGAGAGCGGGGCCGGCGGGGCTGCGGGGGCCGCTGCGGGCGGGGCGGCGGCGGCAGGGTCCCCAGCGGCGGGGCCGCGCAGGACGTGCCACTGCTCCGGCCCGGCCTGCATGTGCTGCCTGGACTTCAACATGACGTACATCGACTTGGGAGGACCTGGTGAGTGACGGAGACCCGCCCCCCGGGGGGTCTCTCACCTGAGCCCAGCCATTGCATCACCGCGTCTTCGCTACTAGGGGAGCAGCTTCCCCCCTCCCGCAGCCCACTGTGCATGTTTAGATGAAGTGAAAGAGATGGAGCGAGGGGGTGAGGGGGGGGGGCGGTAACTGCTGAGAAGAGCGGACCTCGCGAACTCACGCACACGACACTAGAGCCCATCCCAAATGGTTGCAAAATTTCCACTTATTGACAGCCTGAAACGGAGAAAGTTTTGTTTCTTCTCCCCCACAAACCCGGGCTCGTAATGTACCACCAGCAGCGGCGCAGTCCTCGACCTCGCGCGCGGGAGGAAGTGATGTGGGTCAGGTTGCTGCCGTACTCGCCTTCTTTTTATTTTTATTATGAGAAACCTAACGGCCGCACGGAAAACGTTTGGTGAGCGATGGGCATTGTGATAAGCCCCCCGAGCGCGCGCGCTGCGGAAACTTGACTTTCTCATCGGAATCTCGTCTCGTTTCGACTAAAGGTCTTTAAGGCCCCCGCTCCTCCGGCGGCCAGGCCAGGGCAGGACGCCGGGGCGGCGGGGCGGGCGGGAAGTCCCCGCGCTGCCCCGCGCGCCCACCCGCGCTGCCCCCCACTCCTTCCCCTTTCTTCTGACGGCGCGATGCGTCACATAAGATTTGAAAGAAAGTTCACTTTCGGCTCCTTTAATGGTGGCGAGGAGTGTACACCTCTAGTGGGTGCTGGTCCCCCCCAGGTCCCGTAGCGGGGGGAGGGGGGGGGGCTGGCTCGTGCTCCGGGGTCCTGTGATCACCATGCCGTCGCCCTGCTCGGCCCGGACTCGGGCAAGGTCGTTGCCAGTAATACTGGTCTCTGGTCCGTTCGTCCGGTCAGTGAAAGTTGAAAACTCCTCCCGCGACATGCGTCGCCCCGTCAAACCCCGGCCATGCCATAGCCCCGTCCTGCACTGCGGCGGCCTATGGCGGCTCCGCTGAGCCCTGCAGCAGTGCGGTGCAGTGCCGCTCCTCCTCCGCTGCATCATCGCCGCCACCTCCGAGGACCGCTATGGGCCGTGCGTGCGTATCTTGCGGTCACACAAACCCTCCTGGACCGCCGCTAGGCCGCGCCGCCAGGCCCGCGCCAAAGCCACACGACGACACGCCCCCACGACGACGGACGACGGACGGCCATAGCCGGGCTGCTCGCGGCGTTTCGCCAACAAGTTTGCCAACTTTCGCTCACACAGACCGACCGACCGAACGGCGGCATCCATTCATCTCCTCCACGCCATACGCGACAGAAGCTGCCTCGCTGCTCGACTCGGCCTGGCCGGGGCGTGGCGCGCGCAGTGTTTGCAGTTGGGATAGGAACGCCCCGCCACGCCCCGCCACGCCCCGCCACGCCCCGTACGCCACACGCCGCCGGCTGACACTCTCTCCTGATTGGTATTCACGCCATGGCCGTGACCATCTCCTACGCGCGCTCTGATGGGAGGAGAAGAGGGAAAGCCAATATGTATTAGACATAAGCCGCTCAGCGACGCTGCTTCCATGGTGTGCCCCGAGAGAATGTGTGAACAATCGCGCATCAACTTCGGGCGGCGTTGGCGTTGACGGCGGGGTGTTCGTGGTGGTGGTATTTACGGGATGGAATACGGCAGAGGTTGTAACAAGTTCGATGGGTGGCGAAGTCATTGTATTTACCCCTTTGCGTTCACCACCATTGATTTCTTTTTCGAAAAACAAAGGCTCTAGCCAAACTACGGGTGGATTTGGATGAAGGAACCGCACCGTCCGTCCGTCATTCGCCCGAACGAAACTACCAAGTTCAGCATCTGCAACCTGAGGGCGCCTGGGAGGTAGGCAACGCCACGACTGCGGTGCATGCGTGTACTGCAGGGTGGCCTACCTCAACTCTCACAGGCGCCAAGCTGACGCAATTTGCCGAATGAATCCGAGAAAAACGAACGTACGTTCATCGCGGGACGCTCGGACTTACTCGTTCTCTCATGCGGATGTGTGTACCTCGTACTTGGGGGTGCTCTAGGCGGGCCGCCTTCTTCACTCGCCTGCTTGGCGGGTTAGCCTACCCAGTGCGTGGCAGGCGCTAGGGTCGCCTCGTAATACGTTCGTCCTCCCAAGAAAAATGTAGATTTCTTCCGAAGAAAAAACAACAAACAACTCATCTGTATGTTGTCTGTTTGTCTGCAGGTTGTGTACGTCTCCGCTACCTCGGCCAGGACTCCGGGGTTGCCATGAACGTGTCTTACGGCGACTCCCTGCTGCATAGCGAGGTCGTCAAAGGTAAGTGGCAAGGAGTGCTCTTGCAGCGCACTTAAATGTAACGTACTTGATGTAACGTGCCCCTCCCTCCTGTGCGACAGACTCCAGCCCGTCGCAGACGTGCATGGACATCCTCTCGTCGCTGGCGCAGGTGTGCGCGCGCTTCAGCTCGCTGGAGCCCGTGACGGCCGAGGGCGCGGAGGCGGCGGGCGAGGCGGAGGTGAAGCGCGGCTGCCTGCAGTTCGAGCCCAACCTGCTGGGCGAGGTGCAGGCCTCGTACCCGGTGGGCTGCTTCAGGATGACGCCCACGTCCATGACCCTGGAGCCGCAGACCGCGGCGCCGGCCGTCACCACCAGCCAGCCCGAGGAGGCGGAGGGCGGCGAGGGGTGAGCGTCCGGGACCTTGGCGTCGTCGCCCTGGTGGGGCTGCAGAGTCAATGAAATGCCCGTCTCTCTTTCTCTCTCTCCAGGTCGGCGACCACCGAGACCCCGTCCACCGGGCCCACGGACCTGAGCGCCGAGTCTCTAATCGCAGCCGTGAGCGAGACGGCCGAACAAGGCATCGACCTGCTCACCAACTGGCTCGGCCTGGCGCTCGAGGAGGACAACAACGCCACGACGACCGACACCCTGGAAGCGACGTCCACGGCCGCCCCCGAGGAGGGTACCGTCGGCGCGAGGGGTTACAGACAAGGCTCGGTGTCGTTAGCCTGATTTGAACGAGTATAGGCCGGGGGTGTTTTAGAGAGGGTCGACCCAGGCAGGAATGGGCGGAAGACAAACCGCGGGACGCGAGCGTTTTGTCCACTCCGTTTAGTGGATCTGATTATTGAGGTTCGCTCGAAAGAAGGTGGTATAATGCCAAAAAATAAGTGCGGAAAACTGTGAGATTGCCCCACAAGTTGGGTAGTGACTGAAAATTTTGTATATTTATAAAGTCGTAGGGAATGCCCATTAGAAGTTGGAGTATACAAGGGTATTCGCGCGTATAGGATTAAAGCAGGAGGGTTTTCAATTTGACTCATAGGGTAATTTATTACAGTATTT